TGTTCTTGGACTTGGGACCCCCTCAGGGGAACAGCGAGCAGATCAAAGGTGAGGAGGTGGCCAGGTGCTGGGGCAGAGGAGGTCAGGAGGAAAGGCTGAATAGGCCAGGCACTATGAATGTCTACCCAGGAGTCATCGTACCTTGGGCCTAGCCTTGGCTGTGTTCCCATCTGTGTTCCTAAGAACAGGTCTTTACTGTTCTGGGTCTCAGTTTCTTCCAACTGTCAAAAATGGATGACAGGGAAGCCCCTTCCTGGCAAGGGGGCTGTGAGGGGCAGGCCTTAGCAAAGCCCTTCCTTAGCTATGTCCAAATTGTTTTTTGTTTGTTTGTTTGTTTTTTAAGACTAGGCTGGTCTCAAACTCACAGAGATCTGCCTGCCTCTGCCTCCCTAGGGCTGGGATTAAAGGCCTGGACCACCACCGCCCAGTGCTATGGTGAAATTGTCACCATTGAGCTCTGTGATATAGTGGAAGCCTGTCTTTGTTAGTTAAGCTTGTGTAGATAGGGTCTCCTAGTCTGGAACCAGAAGAGGGCTGGGGGAACAGGTGAGGAAAGTGCCCTGTGTGAGGAATAGCCACTCCCTTGAAGGCTATGGATGTTGCTGAATTTGCTACTTTTTCTTGTTAGATCAGTGTTCTGGATGTTTGGACGTTGCAGGCAGTTCAGAGGTCTGCTGCTGCTGGCCAGGGACATGAGAGGGCTCCTATAAGGGGAGAGTAACCAAGAGTGGTGCCACGTGTCTGTAATACCAGCACTTAGGAGAGTGAAACAAAAAGATAGCTTTGGTTTGGAGGACAGCCTGGGCTACCTATCTAGTTCCAGGCCAGCCAGAGATATATAGTGAGATCCTGTCTTAGACAAAGCAGGAGGGTTGGTGAGATGGCTCAGTCAATAAAGCATTTGTCTTACAAATTTGAGGAACTGATCCCCAAAAGCCACATAAACTAGGTGTGGTTTTAAAAAAAAGTGCTGGGGAAGTGGAGTCAGGCTTGCTGGAGCTCAGTGCTCAGCCATTCCAGCTTAATTGGTGAGCTCAAGGCCAGTGAGTGACCCTTTTTCAAAGAATGTGGGTGTACTGAGGAAGACACCCAAGGATGTTCTCTGTCCTGCACACACACACACACACACACACTTTAAAAAAAAAAAAGACAGGCATCGTGGCTCAGCAGTTAAAGTTAAAGACACTTGCCACCAAAACTGATCCCAGAGTTTGATTCCCAGGACCATGGTTGAAGGAGAAAACTGAGCCCCATAATTGTTCCCTGACTACTGCACTCGTGCTGCTGTTCACGGGAGCCTACACACATACAAAATTACATGCACGCAGACACACACACAAGATTCAGAGGAAGCAATGGGTTGCCCGCAGCTGGACCCCAGCGGGGCTCAGGCTTTGCCCTGGCCCACTCTGGTGGGCAAGTATTGAGGAGCCACTGAGAGGCTAGAGCAGAAGGGTGAGCCACACAGTGACACCTCAGGAGACATGGTGCCCCCCAAGTTCCTGAAACACTATTCAGGGTTCTGGACTATTCTGCTCTGTTCCTGTTCTGCACTGGCACCCCACCCATGAGTCTAGGAAGACACCAGGGTCATGTATCCTATTGGGTAAACTAAAATATCTCAGAGAGTCTGGGTTGGCTTAGGGCTGCTGGGTAAAAAGAGGCTAGGCTTACTTTTTTCCACCCAGGGAACTTCTCACACAAACTTCCCTGGGAAGCCTTTATGATTGCTAAAGGCTATCACTCCAACCTAACGTGCCTACCAACCACTCTGGACAGCACTGTGACTACAGTATGACTCTCATGCCACCAAACCGAGAAGGCACCTTTTGAACAAAAGTGAAGGAGGGCCTAGGAACAGAGTGGATGGCAGGGCCAGGGTCAAGCTGGGCACTAGCTCGGCACATTTAGAGAGCAGCAATAGGTCAGTGAAATGTGGGTGTAGGAGGTGGCCTCACCTACACTACCCATAGTGCCTGCCGGTGCTTTGCTTATGCACCGATGGAGGAAGGAGGCCCTTTTCTTTTGCCTGGGAGGTGACCCAGAGAGGTGGATGCCTTGGTGAGCAACACAGTAAAAGGAAGAGTGGGGTAGGATTATATGGAAAGCGGCCTTGGGGACTTCTGGGGCAGAGAAAGTGCTGGGAGGTGGCGTCCAAAGGCCAGGCAGGGAGGAACTTCCCTTCTGTAGGGGACTCTAACCCCAGGGATTGTGAGCATGCCAATCTGTACAGACCAAAAGCTGTTTCGAGGTTAGGTACACTAACCAGGGCTGAACTGCTGTGCTAGGAAGGAGAGTGTGACCAAAGCATGTGTGCTTGGCTGCAAGAGGTGGGCCTGGGCTG